AAGTCTAAAATTTTTTATGGCGTTATAAAATTTTCCGAAGGTTTCGAGTCGCTGCTAGAGAGACACAAAACAAATCGCCCGCTAAAGAATTAACGAAAGAGAATTCACTCCAAAAACGCACCCCAGTTTCCTCATCAAAGCATAGCGATAATCCTTGATGAGAAATAGGTGACCGTCAATAGTCAAATGCCGGATAATGGCAATGAAGGTGATAGCTAAATGGTATATTATCCTACTATATATAAAAAAATAGTTCCTGTGTGTGTGTGTGTGCATTTGAATGTAACTTCCGTCACCGTGTCCGGAGGATATCTCAAGAGGGAAGGGCGTTAGGCTACGTATGATACGTCATTAGGTGCGTAACGTCCCCGAGATGACTGCACGCATATCTGATTTTACAAATTTGCGATTTTCGATATTAGAATTGAGTTTTTGGTTGAAAAATCCGGCAGCCTTCTTTGTTAGGGAAATAATTAGCATATGCCCGGAAGTAGCGGAAGCCTATATATAACATTGAAGGTGGAATTCCTCATTTTCCCCCATAGGAATTCGAGAGACGTATGCAGAGCGAAGAATTTCATCAAGTTAGACGGGGCCAATTTCATCATATTAGTTAAGGTCACAAAAATAACCCTTCCAGGTGGCCGAAGGGAAACTACGAAACGGGTTCGCGTGGGTTTGACCCCCAGGACACCATGCGGAGAAGGACCTGGCGATGGGCTTCTGTTTCTTCAACGAATGTGGCCGTTGCAGTCCGACAGTTACAGCAAAAGTATCCGGAAAGGCGAAGAGGGTTGCTATTATTGATTGGGTAGGGAAGATCTTATTTTCTACTTGATACTTTTTGAAGGACGTCCATCATGGTAACGGAACTCAGCTATGCTTTGAGAATGACCCAACGGTTTCTCTATTTGTCTCTCCACCGACATGACAACGGAAACTTCTTCCCCTGGAACCGGTGCTGTTACGGAAGTCGGAAGTGGTGCTGGAAAGGTAGGGCGGCCCTTACTTTTAACTTCTCAACTTTTTTACAGGGGCGCTTCACTGTCAACAGTCCCATTCTCCGGTGATGTCATGCGAGATGCCGATTATCTGGCGGCTTGGCGTGTCATTAATGCCCCAGTTCTCGAGTTACTATGACCCGATTCATCATGGTATCTGCCGGATTTGACGCTTGTACAGGACATGCCAATGCACTTGGAGGGTAGGCACTCCATTACTATTAAATATGGGGGAATTTACAACTAGGAAAAAACCCTATGAATCCGTTTCAGTTACGAGGTCTTCGCCCCAATGTTCGGCTTCATGACCCGGACAACTGCTCCAGTACGCCGAGGGGCCGCGTCGCGCCTCGCGCTTGAGGGCGGCTATGAATTGTCAGCGATTTCGGATGCTGTTGAGCATTGCGTGAAGGTAAACCGAGCCGAGTACGAGGAGTGCTAATGCCATCCATAGGTGCCAAGCAGGGAGCCGATGAGGACGCTGGTCGGTTGAGTGCCGATGCGCTGGAGGGCATCCCGTGTATGGCGGCTCAGGAGACGATACAGAGCGTTGGTGCTCAAAAAATTCTGAGGAAAATGAATAGTGAGAAAATCCGCAAGAAACCTGTTGAATTGTCCTTAATTTTTGACATATTTCGATGTCTACATCTTTTTGCGGTTATTCAGATTTTAGTTTTTCTCGCTCTTCGGGGTTTCTTCTTTTTCTTCTCTCTCCTATTTCTCTTTCTATTACTTTCTCAGTGATCTCTCTCTGACGATAGCAGACAGGAGAAAAAAGACAGAGCCAACGAGAGGAAGAGAGTGACTGATTGAGAGGTATGTGGAGAGAAAGAGAGAGAGAGAGAGAGAGAGAGAGAGAGAGAGAGAGGAGATAGGAGAGTGTTCGAGAGTGAGATCGAGAGAGATCTTAAAGATCAATTAATTATTCGACTTGAAACCGGTTAATATGCAAATTTCAGGTGATCGCCATCCACAAAAAGCACTGGCCCACCCCTGACGGCCATCCAGGGCATCAACACCAGCGAGCTGCAGTGGCAGACCCCTTCCCGAGAATTGCAGCGGATGTCGATGAACCAGAATTAACACCTGTTTTTTAAACTACACATTTTTCGCCACCCACCTACACACATATCTTTTTGCAGAATTCTACGTTGCGCGCTCTCCACCATTATGCTTTGTTTCTTCCCCGCCGCCCCCACGCCTTCATGGCAGTCCGCCCAGCAAACCCAAATCCACAAATAATGATCCCTAGTCGTAACAAAAAAGTATCGTGATTCTGCTTCTTATATAGCTCGAAATCATAATTTTCAGTTAAACGAAAGAGCGGTGATTAAAAGGGCCGGTGAAGCGGCAGAAACCAAAATTTGAAGAAATCGGTATTGTCTAAAAACCTCAACAACTTTTTACAGGTCTTTCCAAGTGATTTTTGCTTCTCAAACATTTGGCGTGTTTTCTCCGCAACCTTCACCATAATTCTTAAAACGCACTTTCTACCGGAAACAGTGCTATAACCAAACCCGCCATCCCTGTGCTTATACTTTTGAATTTTATCGTATTTTAAAGAACACCACTGATTTCCACCCCTTTCACTTCCTCATAACCAACCCCTTCCGGGCTGTTCAATGGTCTCGGCGTGAGCGTTTTTTTTTTGATGATGTAATACGTATTGTAATTTTCCAACAAATGTCTTTATTTCCCCTGATAGTCCAGAAAGTGATTCTATGTGATTCGGGTGTGTGTCATTTTGTTCCGATTTCGCCCCGCCGAAAGCAAAAATTCTAGTCGACGCCTAGCCCGGATGCAACAACCAATTCTCCTGCGAAAATACCAAAGCTCCTCACGCTTAAAGACATCCCTTCCTGGCGCGCAGTCGATTTCGTTTCTGGGGTGTGATAAGGGACGAGTTCCGCTAGTAAATTTTGAAACATTGAGTCGAGTTGAGCAGGTACACACAAGGGTAGGGTGCAGAGGGAGGCAAAATAATGTGCATACAAAAAATTTCGCGGGGGGAACTAAAGGGGGAAAATTTTCTTCGGTTTATAAAACTCTTTTGTGGTTTGCTATTTTCAGTTGTAATTAAAACTCTTAGTATAATTTCCCCTGACGCTCGTTACCGAATGGTAATAAAAGCGAGGTTTTAAAAACATCGAAAAAAGCCGTCGAAAACTAGCTTTCGACTCCATCGATCCCATGTGCAAACACCGAATGACGGTATATTTTTGATGCTCTCATCGAATGACGGGTCTAAAATATCGAGAATCGGACGAAAATGCCGAAACCAATATTTCGGCACCAGCTTCACACGCTTTTTTTGTTTTTGCTATAACCTTTTTATACTACAATATTCTTAGCTAAAACAAAAACCCTTAGTATATTTTTGATGCTCTATCGAATGGCGTTGCAAAAAAGCCCGAGAAAATAGCGAAAAGATAGAAGTTTGGCGAAGCATATTTTCCCCCGCACAAAGTTCCCCCGCGAAATAGAACAGAACAAAAAAGTTTATGAACGCACGGACACAGCAACATAGTTGACCAAAAAATTCCGTATCTTTCGTTGGGATTTTGCGAGCGCATCGACGTTGGTATCAATTACTATCGAGACCAACAACATTTTTAGGGTACGCCTGAATTCCTAAGGAATGGGCATCGGGCGCTTTGCGGCCTGGGTTTCCCAGACCCTGTAATTTTTAGCCAATCGATATTTCTCGATCTTAATTGAATTGTCAGCGCTTGTGGAAAGCAACGAAAAATCAGTGTAAGGGAGCAGGATAAACTAATAAATAGTCCCAGCATCGCTTCCGTAGCGCAGCATCACTCATTTTCCCGACGATGGCGGGGCTGCTGGAAAATCTTATTGCTATATCCAGTACAACATAAGATACCGCGACCAGCCGCGCCTCGAAGCCTCAGAATGCATCGTGTAGGATATGCTTCTTGGTAGTCATTCGCTCGAGTCTAGAGAAAAATGTAGACAACATACGTTACATACCCGATAACTCGCAACCAAGCGAAGCCATAGTCTTTGATAAAGTAAATGACAGTCAGTGGATCCATCGCTGGATAGAGGGCCAAGAAACATCTCGCTACAACAGATTAATGATTTTAGCATTTAGAGGAACGTGTTACTAATTTCAAAGCTTCCAGCGCGTCGATCGGGATTCCAAAGAAAGATACGGCGTGTGAGGCAAAAATCGCATACGGCAAAAAATTCAAAAATGACGGAAACTGACGCCTAAAGTACATTTGCATCGTTTAAAAGCTTAAAGCTGTTTTACCCGAATCATAAGGGCTCGTAAAGAGGTCCCTCTGCATCCGTTTAGTCTTGGCGCCGAAGTTCTCGGCAGTCGTGAGTGCCTTGTAGATGCTAAGCTGTAAAGTAGAGACCTTAAGGCATCCGACAAACGCTTGTGATGCAAAACGTCATTAGTCCCAAGGCGCTGAAAAACATGGTGAGCACAGCGGCACCGGGAGACAAGTAAGGGCCAATTGGGTAGTAGGTATCTTTCCGTTAGCGTCTTCGGTCTGGAGAATGGATCTCTTGCAAAACAGAAAGTAAAAAAGAGAGAGAGAGAGAGAGAGAGAGAGAGAGAGAGAGAGAGAGAGAGAGAAATAGCGACGCTCAAAAATTACCGCATACATAAACCCAATCATCGCCAGGTTATCGACAGAAACATGGGAGACATCCCAAATCTTTTGACGGTAGATAGTCCCTTACGTCTCGCTTTCCGATACAATAATACCTCTCAACACCCGGTTGTGTTCACGCATTAATGGTGCAGAGAGGAAAAATGCCAAAAACCAGAGATAGAAGCATTGAAGAATCCCGGCCCCAGATGCGACTGTCTGGCAAAATGCCAGCCTCTACAAAGGCAAAACAAAGACGACCTTCCAGGTGGAGAAGGCAATTCAAGAAGCCGTGGTCTAAATGGGATCGAATATTTTATATCTTAACCTACCTGATAACGGCCGAATACACGATAAACAAATTGTAGGGAAAGGGTTGGTATCGTCTAGAAAGTTTGTTGCTTTGCGAATTTAACCGATTACGCCACGTAATTTGCATGCCAAAGCGAATAAAACAATCGGGCAGTTTCTGGCCAATTCACGAGGCCGTCGGACCGGAAAAAGACCATCGTCTTTCTGTAGAGAATGGAAATTTAAAAGTTCGTATTTACTCTACGGGTATCGACCTCCGGGCTTTTGAACAGGATTTAAGCAGAGCCTAGGAGAATGGTTCGAGAAAAGTAAATAAGAACGGATGTAGGTGAAAAATTAAGAACGTGTACCGGCTGGACGATCATGTTAATAACCGTGAAAATAACACTGCAAAATCGTAAAAGACAAGCATCAGATACCTGTAGGCAACCTAGGCAATTTGGTATATTTTTCATAACCCATCAGAATCTTTTAATATAATTGAATACTCACCAAATTCCGGGCGCGAATGCCTCAGAATTCACATTAACGTCGGGTTCCAGAGCAACGCCGAGAAGCTGGCGCTCATCACTGAATAGTTGGACGAGGGCACCCACGGTTTGGAAAGACGGATTAAATGCGCAAATGAACCACAGTTAAAGTTTGTTTTGGCTACGAAATGGATTTCACCGGAATCAGGGCCTGATTAGGCTATTTTCAAGGCATTCCCTAGGGCCTCAGGGGATTTTGACTAAAAAACCGTGGATGACCGCCAACGCTTATCTTAATAGTAATGGCGAAATGGCTGGTTTTCTTTTTAAGCCCAGGCCAATTTTCGGGGCTTTAGAACGCGCTTGCCTTCAATCTTTAGCCATAACGCTTCCGGGAAGCCTTGCCAAAAAACATTCAATGTGAATTTTTCCGCTTCGAATTTTGTAATTCGAGCTCCGTAACACTTAAAAATGGATTTTCAAGAAAAAAACCACCAGAGCCTGAAAAACAATCTTGAAAACTTGTGAAATCGCACCGGCCACAGGATGGGATGGAGACCTGGGATTGTTTTTGGAGCCTTCCAGGTAGGCTGGCTATAGCTTGCTTTTCTTTTTTGCTGCAAAGTCACATTTTTCACAGGCGGCATGATCGTGCTCATCGACCTGGCAAGCTCGACCCGTTGCTAATTATATATTTCGCACGCGACTGTTTCTGCGCGCGGTACAGAAAACACTTTGGTAATGGTCAGCGATCAGTGATGCCTAACGCCCTTCAGCAGTACCCCGGAATCGAATGTATTCAACCAAGATTTCGACAATAGCTTTTCCGCTCGGGCCGACGAGATGAAGACGCACTACTGAATGGCACACTGTTATTTCGAAGATGGTCACACGGACCTTTGAATTTCATTATGTTTACGATTTAGCTGGACGGAGTTTTGACGCCCACTTATGACAAAATTCAAAACTATCGTATTAGGTTAGTTTAAACAATCAGAATGCGGTAAAAAAACAATGACAAATCGTTTTATGGTCACTTAAATCATAAAAATCAATCCGAAAATTTCTTCGAAACAAAGCCAGCCATCGAAACTTTTCGTAATTAATTTCGGATCATGGGAGAGTTAACGTCTACTAAATGTAAAGGTTAAAAAGAGCATTTGCGAAATACCTGAATTCTATCTGAGATTGGGAGTTTCTGCTCAGACTTCTGGGATAAACCTGACTCAGCCTTGAAAACACACAAGGAATCAACATTTTGTTTGGCAATAAAAAGATCTCATCAGCGAAAGCTCAAATCTTACTCCCAAAGAGCTTACCCGACTATCCTCATACTCAACGCATAGCGATACTCTTTTTAATGAAAAAATACTGAGGCCAAAGTAATGATTAAGTAATGCGGAGAAGGCATGGCGGTGATGATACCTGAACTTTTGATTTCAGCCCACAGCTTTTCACTACCTCACTGGATTCCCGTGGGGATTGGGAGGGCAAGGAAAGTGGACGATGTTTGTGAGGATACACGGGCCGGAATCTTGACGGCTGGGAAGGAGGCCTGGGAAGAAAGTCTGTTGGTAAATTCAGACTCAGCTTGAGCGTTAAGGGGGCGAAGTTTGGGCCCAGGATTAAGCCTAAGCCTAAGCCTGTGTCTAAGCCTTCAAGCCTTAGCCCGGGCTTCCGCCTAAGCCCAAGTTTATGCCCAGCCTAAGCCAAAGTAATGCCTAAGCCTATACTAAGTAAGATTCAAACATTGCTTCTGTATAACAAGCGACAAAAGCGTTCGCGCTGCATTTTTTCGTGCGCACGCTCATTGGTGGAGGCGTTCAGAGCTCGTTGGATTCTGGAAAAGTATGACTAAAAATTTTGGGAGGATTATCGGCGGGAGCAAAATCCTGTTGAGCAGGATTTAGAGCACTGGAGCATAAACCTTTACTTATAAGTGAAGTATACCATTAAAAATAAGAGCCGAAATGAGCAGGGCTACGGGTAAAAATCCCAATATAACAGCAGGAAGGTAATACACTTCTTCACCGCGATCGTTGATCACCAAAATTTTATGCTGATTTTGTGTCGATACTCACGTAGAGATTCTTGACCATTAACAGCCCATCTACCGGAAACCCGGAAACTTCCATAACCCTATCGCGCAGGTATTCTCTGAATTGAATCGGTATACTTGAAAACGATATGCCACGCCCACTTTTGATCTTCCAAGTGATAACGGGATAGAAAAATAATTTATAAAACTATATCAGATGCATTAAGGAGCATCTAGGCTGAAATTATAATTTAGATTTTGAGGTAAGGATGATACTTACCCCAAAACATATCCAATCTTGGGCAAACAAAAGTAGCGCAATAACTTTTGATTCACCAGGCTCCCATAGCGATATGCAAATTGTAGGACGAGGATGAAGGCTACCGACTAAAACATCGAATTTTTCTGTTGTCTGACAGCCATGTAGGCCATTTTTACCCCATAATTAGCATGCCAATAGGAAAAGGCGTATTGCATCAGGTTCGGCCATTCGCGTAGCTCGCCGACCGGGTAGAAGACGAACGCGTGCTTGTAGATGTCGACAAACTTAAGGGTTAGCCTTAGATCTAAGCATCTTAAGCAAAACTTACCGGGACCAGGATCAAGTTTAGGAGCGTGAAGTGGAGACCAACGAGCGTGAAAGCTAATATGAGGTATCGGTAATTGCCTTAAACCAGAAAAAAAAATTATTAAAAAGTTGAGGAGTTACCCATTTCCTTTCGGGAACGCGAGATTATCAGGTATGCTAATAGAATGTTTGTAAGAATTGCTATAAAACTGAAAGATTGGATGAGTTTCGCTTCGAGGGCGCCCATCTGGAAAGCAATAGTTTTTAAAATTATTACTTAGCATGGGGGAAGATTCGCAAGCGAAGAGAGAGAGAGAGAGAGAGAGAGAGAGAGAAAGCGAAAGAAAGTGAACGAATGCGCGCCTAGATTTTAAATGAGGAAGGACGTCTACTAGCCAATAAAGAAAGGCCAGCCGTCTGGTTCGGAAGGATAAACCCACGAGCGCGTGAGATAACAGAGTCGGCATGCATATTTGGGAAAATAACAATTGATTCAAAGCGGGCTTTGTTACCGAAAAACGATGGGAAGCGGCACGGAAGGATATCTCAAAAGAAAAACACGAATGGAAGTTGAAAGCATAGTTTTCGGATGTTGAAAACCGGCGATTTGCTATAGGTACATTTTGTACTTTGGGAATCGTCTTTTTGGACATTGCCTATCGCTACGTGCGTCTTTCTAAATTTTTCTGTCGTTTTTCCACGAATTCGAAAATTATTTGCATTTTATGAATGGCTAACAACGGCCCAGGCGAAATTACAGCATCGCGGTCACGATTTCGAAAATCACCATTTCGAAAATCACCATTTCGAAAATCACCATTTCGAAAAATCACGATTTCGAAAGACATCGTTTCGAAAGTCACCATTTC